TAGTGCTTAACAAACATTTCCAAAGTGCAGCTTTTGAGGGAGCACGGGGGCAAGTTTTGTATTTTTTGAAAAATGGCTTTCAGCGTAGAGTCCGGCTAGGGAAAATGCAAAGAGTGACGAACTTTGTACTTGCATCATTTCAACACGTATCGAGGTCGCTTTCATTTGCCCATAAAGTTTATAAAATTTTGTTTTCGCTGCTATGCTTTCAAAATGTAAAGTTTCTAACTAAAGCAGATGGTGGCCCGGTCGGAACGGGAAACTTATGCTGCGCATTCGGGGTAATAACTAAGCTTTTTCATAGAGAACAGCCAGACACTGAGAGTATGTATAACGATACCAGGATTCGGTTGGAAACAGTTTGGAAACATCAAACTTCACCACATATGCTCGGAGAAAATCTATACTTGAAACTTCTTCAGGGAGTGACTAAGAGTCTTAGCTTACTTTTAGTTGCACTGTCGAATGCGTTTTGTAATAGGTTCCAGCATGTCAATCGAAAACAGGAGACGGATCTATGCTGAGTTTTCCATCATTTATGCGGCTGATCATTAACTTCACTGTGAACTTTATACACACGTGAGTTTTAGTCTTGCTCATAAATTTTATGTAAAAATATGAAACATGAAGCAAAGAGAAATTTAACCTTTTCTGTCAAGAATGAGATCAAATTTTTTTTCTTTTTTTTTCTTTGATGAGAATGCAAAAAATATCACTATATCAAAAGTTTTGAGCTTTACACGATTGTTTAGCGTTGAACAGTTTATTAAACAGTTTATAACTAGGTGGAGTATAACTTGGTTGCGTTATAACTACTTTAACTTTTGGAAGAAAAAGAGTTGAATGATTAAGCGATTCAACCCTGGTCGTAACTCTAAGGTGTAGTTATAACTACCAAACTATTTTTCTCGTCCTGTGAATGATAAAACGACTATTTTATACGAAGAGGTGGCTGAGTTTGGCAGACAACCATGCACACAGACACGTACATATACACAGCCTTTCTTTTAAGATGAATAAATTCGAACTCTAACAGTCTCCAATGATCTGCGAAGACAATATTGATGATATGTAGATTTTGCTTTGATTTCAAAAGTTACAAGAAAGTATAAAACACTACCCAAGCAAATATCACCTCTGGGAAAAATCTAGATACATTTCGTCTGTAATCGGGCGACACACGACTAGTTGTCATCTAGATTACTAGTTAGAAAAGAGACTTTTAAGTAGATGCGTCTGCAGGTGCATCTAGCAATAGTTAAATCGATCGATTATCAGGCGATAAATTGATAGTTGCAACTAGAAAAAATCTAGTAATCGCCCAATTACTAGATTTCTACTGTCGTTACACAGCAGTTGCAATCGAGTAAAAATCTGGTAATCTAGATGAATCGGGCGATACTAGATTTTTTTTTGACGCTTGGGTACGTGTAAGTGTTTTAAACTTCTTTACTTGAGAAATTTATATGGGAGCTTTCAAACACTATACTGTGTTGGCTGATGATGAACAGAGTATAGCGTTTGAAAGCTCCCAAATAAATTTCTCAAGTAATGAAGTTTATCACACTTAAACAATATTGATGCTACCCAGGTAAAAAAACTGTACAATACCAATCTATAGTCACTTTAGATCGGTTTGAAACTAAAAATAAACATCACCACTACACTCAGCGTGGCTCATTACCCGTAACTTGACCTATTTTAGGGTGATCCAAGGTCAATTGACCAAAATCGAGGCTCTTGGAAAAATATTTATATCTCCAGGGCGGAACGTGCTAGCCAGCTCGGTCTTGCATGGTTTGCAGAGGACATACGGCTGATTGCACCCATGTATAAGAATCGAAATTCCAAAGTCGTGCACGGGTGGTTTTCCACAGACCTTCTACAAAGTCCTTAAAGATCTGGATGATCCAATGATTATCACATGCCTGGTGTCCTCAGATGTCCTTTTTCCAAAGGCAAAGACGCGAACCCGCTAGCTAGTAACGTTCCTGAGCTATTGAGAAAGCAACCGCGTCCATTCTATCTTGATTGGATAGTAGTATAAACGACACCACAATGGCAGCTTTTTGAAGTTGTTATAAGCTTTATTTGATAAGTATGATGTGGTATACAAAAGAAATGAAATAGAACAGAACAAAAAGAAAGAGGCGCATCCATTATAGCTTTTTGTTTTGTCGATGTTACATTGCACAGAAAGAAACAAAAACGAAACGGGGGAAAAGATGCATCTGAAAGCGAAAAAACGAACTATGAAGAAACGTAGATGCATGAGAGAGCGATGGTACAGGGTGTCTCAAAAAATAATTTACCTTCTCTGTATTCATTAGCTTTCTTGCGTACAAATATAATTGAACTTTTTATCATCGGTTTAGTCCAATAGACCAAAGATTTCTGGACAAAAGGACACGTCTCTGAGCTCTCTAAGAGCTTTTCTCATGAAACAGTATTCAATTAACGGGAGATCCCGTACCACCAAAATCGGGACAATTAACAGGAAAACAGGAAAAAGACGCTCTTAGGGTTTTCCGTAAATTAAATACTGTTTCATGGGAAAAGCTCTTAGGGAGCTCAAAAATGAGCTCCTTTTGTCCAGAAATCTTTGCTCGATTTGGCTAAACGGATGATAAAAAGTTCAATTATATCTGTACACAAGAAAGCTAATAAATACAGAGGATTTTTTGGGACATCCTATTTGTCCAAGCAAAAACTACCCAATTTTTTGGGTTATTTATCTAGATTCAGCTCCACGTGCATCTAGATGTTCGTGGAACTGAATCTAGATAAATAAGCCAAAAAACTGAGTCGTTATTGCTTGGGTGTCTCAGACAGAACAGAAGTCAGGTAAGTAGTACTCAGAAACGTTGAGTACTTTTGATATATTCAACGGTTATTTAACCGTGAAAATTCAACATACATTTGATTAAAAGCATTTCATGCTTTCGGACAACGTCTTTGAGTCGTCGCCATTTATAATATGGATGCAGAAAATCATGTATCTTTGAGCGAAAGCGACCCAATTTAACAGTTTGATACAAAAGGTAACTCATTCCACTGCCTACCTACCCAAGGAAAGAATGTGTTTTTGAACTTTTCTGTCTGAGTATGAAAGATATGAAGTTGACCTCTAACCGGAGACCTCAATGATATAGCAACAGTTGAATAATTTGGTATCCTTGAGAAAGGAACGATGGTGTGAGCCCTCTTTTTCTTTTAAATAATAGCAAAATTTTATTCATGGCATATAAAGTTTCAATAGGAGTCCATCCAAAAATTATCGATACGTTTTCTCTTGAACTCAAATACATAGCGCCGCTAACAATTAAAGTAGCTTTGTACTGTATGTCATATATAGGTTTGAGATAGAGTGGTACATGCTGAATAACGTTTATTTTACTATGCAGATCTGTCGGGCAAGGTTATTATTACTGGCATAGTATAAGATTTAAAAATATGATCGAGAGTGGATGTACTCAAAATGGCTTACATAATTTAGTTCCCGAGGATTTAGTTCTCTTTAATTAAACAGATAGGAAAAAGCTACTTTTAAAAAGATGAGGATTTAGTTCCCTTTTCTTTAGTTCCATTTTTTTTAGTTGCCTATATCAATTACTTAATTAAGGAAAAGAAAATGTATAATCTTGTTTTCTATTCTGGCAATAATAACGAAAACCTTCATAACATAAATGAGTTTTACCATGGGTTGATTATACATATTCTATTTTTGACATAATTATGCTTTTAAAATTTCGTGTGATAGTGCGATAAGGTTATAGATTATCCATCGGTTTAAATATCTATTTTCTGATATATACTGTATACATTGTTTAGTTACATTTATACTACATACATAGTTTAGTTAATAATTTAGACACATTTACGTTATGTTTCTTAATTGAATGTCTGAATAGAAAAAAACATGAAACAAGGTATTGTCTTGTCCTTAATTAATTAATTGTTATAGGGAACTAAGGTATTCTCTCGTTTCATCTCGTATTCTTTAATTAGCTCTCGTTTCGTCCCGTCTCATTACATCCCACACTTGTTTCGTCCCGTCTATTTTCTATCGTTCTATTCATTTCATAACTATTCATTTTTGTCTATCAACTGTACACTAATCAATATTAATATAATTAATTAAAATAATATTCCTTCAATTTCAATATTCACATTTTTTGTTTTTGTTTTCTGTTCCATTGTAACTCGTTAATAAAATAATTAATGTAACTTATGAAGCCATATATATATCAACTTCTTACATTATCTTAATTAATTATATTAACTTTGATTGATGGAAAAAAATAAATAAACGAGTGTGAGACGAAACTAGAGGGGACGAAATGAGACGGGACGAAATGAGACGGGACGAAACGAGAGTAATCCGGAACTAAAGAAAAGGCAAATAAATCCTCGGGAACTAAATCGTGTAGGCCACTCAAAATGTGTTTGTTTCTTCGCATTAGATAGAGCATGTAGTTACACTTTTTGCATATTTCTTTAACTTGTAGTGACCTGTCAAGAAGTTTTGTTAGGTACACTCCAGATGTTTGTGATTACCAACAAACTTTAAAGTAAAAGCACCAAGAAGCAACTGGGGCATAACCTTTTCTTTGCCAAATAGCACAGTTATGCATTTTCTTTGATTTAGAGGTAATTGTCCACCGCTGTACTCTCATCAAATCGACATTGATTATGTTTGAGGCAAAAATCCTGTCGTTAGAGTGGTGATATAGCGCAGTACTATCTGCAAATCGTCTTATTTGAGATTGCACGTTTAAAACTATATCATCTTCAAACAGAAGGAACAGACGAGGCCCCATAATAGATCCTTGAGGAATTCCCCTATTCATTCTTAAAGCTGTAGATCTAGAATAATTCAGGATGTTCTGAAGTCCATTTTAATTAGAAATTTTAGACGTTTTAAAAGTACAATTTTCATGTTCAAGGAAATAAAGGTAAAATGTTTAAATATTAGAATAATAAAACAATAGTATGATGTCTCATGAAAACAAATGAGATCGAGATTCAACATCATAAATAATTGTCTGAACTGATTCCGGTAATAATGTCAATGTTAGATAACCTTGATTAGGATCCAATATTTGTATTCTTTGTGTAAATATGAGATCATGATTTAAAGCTACAATCACCATTTGATTGTTTGGAGTAAGGAAACTAATTATTTTCAATGTTTCGAATAACGTAGATGCTGTTTCTGTTTTCAATATTTTCATGCCAATACGTACGGAATCACGGGGAATAAATTTTGAAAAATGTCCCATCGCATAATACATGGGATTTTTATAGAAAACGGTTCCACTTGTTGTATTAGCGATGATAGGTGAGTCCACAAAATTTTGAACGTGATTTGGACCACCTTCTAGATCTAAAACAATATTCCAATCTGTCCAACCAGAAGCTCCCACAAGTAAATCACCAATAATTGATAAAGCATAATGTATTCCACGTTTCCACATTCCTAATCTTGGTCCTTGATTGATTTTCATATATCCTTCACATGCTTCCGATGGGAAATAGAAAAATTGTGGATACTCGAATTTTGTAATAAATAATTCATAAAAATCAGGAAATGTCATATCCTCTGTAGCATACCAATGAACAGCAATTCCATCGATATATTGAATAATAGAATTATTGCGTTTTATCATTTTATCAATTTTCGAGAAAAGTAAGACCATATCATCATCATAAGTCATAATTTTTACTGTTGGATGATTTTTACGTAATTCGGGTCCTAAATCGATTCGGAGAAAGTCAGCTAATTGCTCTGTTGTATAAAATAATCCTGCAAAATCCTTGACTTGACCATACTCATTTTGAGTGGTGATTCCCCAAATAGGAATACCTTCTGAATTATAGGCTTCAATAAATTTACTAAAATAACGAGCCCACGTTTCATGGTATTTATCACCAGCAACACCATTTAAAGTACCAATGGGATTACTGGAATTTTTTAGCCAATCTGGTCCATACCAAGGAGAACCAAAAAAGTAAATTGTTTCATTACTCATTGAAATAGCAGATTTAATAAATGGAATCTTAGTAGATAGATCCATGGCAATAGAGAAATTATTTAATTCAAAATCATTCCAAATTGGAGCATATGTGTAAAAATATGTGCTAAAATCACACCCACCCATAGGAATACGTCCAATATTATAATTTAAACCATCTTCACCAAAATATTGAGCTAATAGTTTACTTTGTAAATTTTCAGATAACTGATGAGCGACTATACTAGCTGAATCGGTAAATGCTCCACCAAAACCAAGAATCGTTTGATATTTCGTTGTATAATCTATCTGCACTAAGCTCGTTATATTGGGATTTATCTGTTTTTGAAATTGTAAATTAGTTAACTTAGTTAATCGATGAGTTTCAGCATGTTCCGATGTACTTTCATATAACGCTGCCTGTAATTTTGGTATAATCCCTAATGGAGTGATAGTATCACAATATTTCTCCGTACATTGACAAACATTACCGTATTTAAATGTCATAATATCACATGGAGATTGAGCAGTGGAACAGTTTATCCACAAAGCGAGAAATACCACAATGTACAGAATTGAGTGGCAGGACATATTTGGATACAATATTCTGATGTGACTCTTCCAGTCTATTTGTTCTAAATCACTGTGTTTATTGAGTTTAATAAATACTCTACAGATACAGACAGAATTGAGAGAATTACACTTTGTGAAACCATCCCTTTCAAAGTCTCTTTGAGTTCAATATATTATTCATTTCATAGATTTTTGAAGTTCTTCGTTCAAATAATATATTAGGTTGAGGAAAAAGTTCGTGCGCCGTGTTAAAATAATGATTTTTTATATATTTTTTTTTGTGTTTTTGATCTGGTTTTGTGGCTATTATGAAAATTTATTGATTTTTTAAGATGTCTGAT